AGAAACAGGCCTCCAAACCAAGACACCAAAGAAAAAAATCTTTTATTGTTTGTAATTTTACTTTGAAATGAAAGACAACTGAGATGGCATCATGGTTGGCTCGATGGGTAGGTACGGAGAAAAAAGTACAAGAAATGATATAATCTAGGGGAGAACATACTGGTCTTCACTAGAAAGGGCTTTCAACTCTGTTGTATGTTGATATTTTTATTAATGTTGGGCAAAAGCGTCTGTAGCCAAATCTAATTTCTGACCAAGAGCTTTGTCTCCCATGCAGCCTGTGGCCCCTACTTCCTTGGCTTCCACTGAGAGCGAAGCCCCATTACATAAACAAATGACTTTCTGCAAGAATTCGGAGCTGAGCTAGGTGCAATATCATATCTGGTTACCCTCTTCCATAACAAGCGAAGCAAAACTCCCTCAAGTTCCTGTCCCATGTTTTAACAAGAGCCAAAAACTCTTTTTAAGCCGCAATAAGCAGTTCTGAAATTAAAACTCTGCTTCAGCTGTCATCACCTCTCTTCCCAGCTGCTCCCTTAGCTGTGGCAGCCCCCTTGCTTCAAGAGTCCCTTCATCTCTGCTGCCTGCCCTTGGTCTCCCTCGCTCCCCAAGGCCTGTGTTCTGGGCTGAGCAAGCCCGGGAACTGGTCGGGATTCCTCCTCTGTCTTCCTTCTTTTAATCTCATCTGAGACAAGTCCAGAGGCTTACACAATCTTCTCTGTTTATGCGTTTAACCGGCTACTGCTCTGCCTTGAACTCTAATTTCAATCCATCCGTGCATAATAATAGTTTCCATCACTTGGAAATACTTTTCTAAATTCCAAGCACTGTGCAGACCTTTCCATAGCATATCTGAAGTTCCACAAGCTAGGTAGGCAAGGGTCCTTTCTCCTTCACAAATGGAGAATCCGGGAGCCATTGGAAACAAACATTGTGCTGGGCACTGCCATTGCCTGGTCTCACACAAAACACGCAGCTTCCTTAGGACAGGATTGTTGTATTGGCCTCACTTTTACAAATGAGGAAATGAATACCCAGAGAGAATATTTCCTGAGGCCCAACTACCAGATTGCAGCTGACACCCACCGGAAGTGCAGCCCCACAGAATGACAAGTGGAGAGCGTGGACCATGAGATCTTCCCGTTGAGGATCCCCAGGCCTGGAGGGGTAAAATGAGGAATGCAGAAGAAACACTAGAATTAGATCCCAGGTCGCAATTTTCCGACTCGATCCAATTTAGAAGATAGGAAACTCCATATAGATGGAAACATATGGGAAAAGTTGATGTGTTTCACACCCACTGAAAATCTGCTGGCCTCTCTAGGATGACATTGCAATCTTCAGATCTGGCACGAGGTGTGTTGTCTCAAAAACCTAGCCACTCACAGCCCGGTTGCACACTTGATTCAGTCCAGACAAAACCAATGTTCCCTGGTACAATAATTGTCCCATGCGCCAGGAGACTTTGAAGGCAGAAGCAGCATCAACAGTTGAAGTATAAACACTGAGATGCGAAGCCATTGAGGGGGTAAAAGCAGAATGAACCCTAGACTGGCAGAACCCTTGGTCCTGCTCCAATCTGTCACATCTTGATTCGCTCTGGTTGGGTTTGAGGGTGAATGGGAATGTGAAGGTCGGATTTCCTTACTGACCTGATTTGCATCATTTCTAAGCAAATAGTATTCACTTGCTTATCAGATGTTGTCAGTGTTGTTAGTTGCCATCAAGTTACTTCCAATTCATGTCAACTCCATGTACAAGTGAATCAAACACTGAGTTCATTGTGTGGTCACTGTGTATTTTGAATGGCTTCCAACCTGGGCTTGATAGTCCAGTGCTGCACTGCACAAGGTCCTGTTGTGATCCACAGGGTTTCAGGAATACATTGCCAGGTGTTTCCTCCGGGTTTTCTTAGTCTTTGGAAGCTCCACTGAAACCTAACCAGTGTGAGTGATCCTACTGGTATTGGGAGATAATGGTGGCATTGTTTTCAGCAGGGTGCAAGTCATGACTGAAGGGTGAGGGTGCTAACTAGACAACCTTCAATATTGCCATTCACATATTATTGCTAAAGGCAGAAAGTTTCTTACATCTGAGCTGGTATTTGCCTTAGCCTCCTACTAATGATAATGTTGGTAACTAGGTTTATTTGTATATTTAGTTGTATAGCTGCTAAAATGGTTTAGTCCTATAACACAAGGGTCTCTTGTAACTGAAGGTGAACAGTTCCATGTCAGTTCTTATGGGTTAGGTGGCACATATGTCTGAGAGGCACGTAACAAGGGGATCCTGAGTAAGGCTGGACTTCCACTTACTTGAACTCCTAATGAGCAGGGATTCCCTTCTCAATGAAAGTATGACAGAGAAAGGATAGTACTGACCTTGTCATACTCTAACCTGGATTGAGCTGGTTGTGTCCCATACATGACATTATGTAAAAATGAATAGTTCAGACTTTGGTCGATGACTTTTGGTGTCTTGTTGGGTGACTCATTCCCTTGGTGACCGTGGTGAAGGGGTTGCCCTGAAGGGACTGGGTATTGCCACGTTCACTCTTCTTAGGCAAGGGGACTATGCCATCTAGTATCCACAACGGGCAGTTTTGAGACCAAAAGCCAGGACTATAAGTAATTACATCAGAACATCAGGTGTAAACTGGTACTGATGGTCATTTTCTCTAATCAGAGAAAATGCTTCCTGCCAAGGAGGGGCCTGGAGCATCGCAAGCATTCCATCCCACCCCACTACAGTGTTAACTAAGACTAAGCACAGGAGAAGGGACCCCGAGGAGGTTCTGTGTCTTGGTACTTACTGGATGTTATTAGCTGAATTGTGCTTCTAATTTTCATCTCTGACTTTTATGCACATTTCCTTAAACATTACCTGCTGGAGTGTGCATGTTGAGGAGGATTAAGTGGAAAGAGCATGCTTGTGGGGGGAGGTCAGAGGCACAGGCATTCCCCCCCTGAGGGCGATCAGTTGCCAAACTGCACTGGGCCTGCTCCCTGCTGCTGGAGACAATGGACTACTTCTCTCTGAAGCGTGGGGCCATTAGCTTGGTTCCTGTAGGAGGGGTTTACACCCTACTGATAAGGGTTCCTGTAGAAACCCAGAGACCACCCCTTAGACCACCCTCTCATTGCTGTGTACCGTATAGTGTAACCCCTCCCTGTGACGTATGTCTCTACCTGTAATTAGTGGGCTGGCATGCCCCCAAAAGCTATATAGGCGCGGGTCAGCAATATAGAGGGACTCGGACTCGCACCTCTCTGACTCTCCCCCCACCTCTCCTCTCCAGTCCTCTCTCCCTTGTTCCCTTTCCTTCCTTCCCTTCCCCCTCCCTCCACGTGGATTACCAAGTGGGGCTGAGGGAAGCATGCTGCCATGAAATGTGTCTGACTCCATTTATTTCTATATATCTCTTTTATCTCTCATGCTCTCTATAACTCTACTATAATATTTACTTATTAGCGCTGTACAATTGCGCCTACCAAACCCGTAGTGATTGTGCTAGGAGCTGGCTTCTTCTGGCACATGCTGAGCATAGCAATGTCAGGGGCAACAAGTATCCCCTCCCTTGAGGGCTGAGGGGTGGTCTCCATCAGAGGCCAGCTATGCACAACTTGCTGGAGTCATCAGGACAAGGAGGAGCAGGATGACTGCAGCACCTGGAAATTAGTGCAAAGAGAGGAGAGGCCAAGAGTGAGGGGGAAGGGCAGAGGGATATCCATGGGGAAAGGGACTGGTTTGCTAAAGGCTCTGCCGTCTGAGAAGAGTCTTTTTTTGAACAGCTTTATTAGCATATAGTTCACATATCACACAACTCAATAGTTCATTCACAATGTGATTTTCTTAAGTCTTTGATGCTTAAAAAATGTTATAGTCACCCATGCAGTGCTTAATGTTGGAAAAGTTCTTAAGCTTAGGTAGCACAGATATCAAGTCTTGTCTGAAGCTTAAAACTATTTCATTTTGCCTAAGTTTGAAGTCCTGATTTAGTCATTGAGTATAGCATGTTACCTAAACTCTTGTCTTGAGTTTCCTCGCCTGTAAATTCAGAATAATCCTAGTATTTACCTCATAGGGCGGCTGTGAAGATTAGGTGACTCCAGGTGTGTAAAGTGTTTGGAGCAACGCTCCCTTCATTGTGCCTACCACAGCCGGTGTGCACATGGTCAAAAGGGCTGGCTTGGGGAATACATCTTTTCTTTGTTCAGAAATCACGGGAGGCGCTAACGTGACAGGGAAAATGGTGTGTCTCAGTGACCCGGTTCCTTTCCTATACAGGATATGGGGGGTAGCTTGGACCCTGGCTCAACAGTTCTGAATGAGGAAGGTGCTGTGCAGACTCCAGGATTTCTTTCCCGAGTTCCAAAGCCGACTGTTACCAGTGCTGAGCTCAGCTCACGCTCTGCGTCAGAACGGTGCTTCCTGGATAAGAGAGGCTGAAGCAATTACTTAAGTCTCAGGGGGAGATGAGAGAGCAGGACAGTTTGGTCCTACCGGGCCACTTTCCTGCAGCACTTACCACAGTGAAGTAATAGTCAAGTCAGAGAGGTCTAAGAAAGCAGAAGTAGGCTCTCTGCAGCCATTTAACCTGTACACTTCCTGAGGAGTAGTCTCAGGTTGTCCTCATATTATTACAAGACTCCACTACTTACAGAACTCTAATATATGAATGAAAAACAATTTAGGAGAGAAGGGTAGAGAATTCAGTGTATGAATCACGAGGAAGGTGGAGTCCTGTAAGTAACCTGTTTATTTTTTATAGAAAGCCACGACAGAAGATGATTAGTATGTAACTAAGTAATATTTACCCCCACACAGCGAATTCTTCCAATTCATATTTTTAAAGTCGTTTTGAGTGTTAATTATAGGAGGACCTTACTGGAATCGTTCTGTGAACAGTTCACTTTTAATAACAAACTCAAAATACAGCTTGCAGTGTTGCGTTTTTACACATAAGCATTTTTATCAAACTGTTTGGAAGGGTTGTGGTTTTAGTCTCCTTCTCCACCGTGGTACTTGGTCCGAGAAGACAGGACTGATATGGCCCCATTGTATGCATATCCCATTCTGGGTGTTTTGTTGTTGTCAGATTCTGAGAAGCAATATAGGACACCACCAATTATGCAGAGTGATGCTCCCGCCCATCCAATGAACAGAGCAGCTCCTAGCTCAGACTTTTGCTCAACGTAGAGAGGGTCGAAGAATTCCGTTGTGATTTTGTTTGCATATGGGGAACAGCCGTTCATGGAGCACAGCCCTGACAGTATGAATACAATTCCAGCCAAACAAGCAATTTTAGCTTTGGCTTTATCTGCGCCTCCGACTTTGGTACACTTCATTCCAAACAGTGCAAATATGGAACCAAAAAAGCCAAGGCTGACAGCAGCAATCATTAGTCCTCCGCATGCCTGGATATAACCGTCCAGCGCCAGCATGCAGGGGAAATCCTTGCAGTTGGAGACACCCGTGGAGTCGGTGACACAGGTCTTCCACAGGTTGGCCCAATAGGTGGCGGGGGTGATGACGGTGCCGTCCATGGTGGAAACCTTCCAGTAGTCGGTGGGCAGCGTGGAGGACATCAGCACCCAGCTGGAGATGGAGACCCTGAAGGCAACCACTCGGCGCCGCGACCCCCGCCCCCGGCCCGCCTCAGCGCCCGAGAACACAGTCTTGAGCCAGATGCTTTAAACCCATTCCCAGGGCTCTCTAAAGCTTTTTTTTTTTCTTGAGTAGCTTAAAGAGCCTATTCACTTTATAATCATAGTGAAAACGCATTTACTCGAACCCCTTTGTGTGACTTCACACCTTTGAGGTGTGAAGAATTAATTGGGACGTAATGGATGTCTTTGGAGGAGTCTAAGCTCCAGCCTCCCTCGACACTCTGCATCCCACCAAGAATTTGAGTTCTGAATTGTTATTACCTCTTAATTTATGTCTTCTTTATCACTTTGCCAAGACGAACTTCAGATGGTCAGGTCACCTTGCCAGGACTCAACATGGTGCCGGACAAAAAGCAGGCAAGGCAGGCATCGTCTATGTTGGAGAGAAGTCCAAGTGCTCTGATGTGAGATTTAGAATAGTTGAAATTTAGAGTCCATGCTCCTCGATATTTTAAATATGCACATGGGTTTTCCAAGATAAAGCTGTAGGAATGAGATAGATTAATAGGATCTCTCTTGACTTGGATCTGATTTTCTATTTGGTCTAATTAAAAGGATAGCCACCATCCTAAAAATGTATTGTGTTGTATTCAGGAACCAAACAAGTTTGTTTGTTTGGTTGGGTTTTAACCTTGTTGTTAGATGCCATTAAGTCACTTCCGACTGATAGTGACCCTCTGTACAACAGGACAAAACACTGCCCTGTCCTGGGCCACCTCCCAACTGTTCTTATGTTGGAGTCCCCTGTTGTAGCCACTGTGTCAGTCCATCTTGTTTAGGGGCTTCCTCTTTTTTGCTGTCCCTCTACTTTACCAAGCATGATGTCCTTCTCCAGGAATTGATCTCTCCTGACTACATATCCAATGTACATGAGATGAAATTCCCCATCCTTGCCTCTATTAATAATTCAAACTTGGAATGTATGAAGTTTGAATCTAGGAAATTTGGAAGGCATCAAAACTGAAATTGAGTGCATAAATACTGATATGCTTAAGTATTACTGAGCTGAAATGGAATGGCATTGGTCATCTTGAATCAAACAATCATGTGATTTACTATGCCTGAAATTACAAATTCAAGAGGACTTGAGTTGCATTCCTCATGAAAAGAACATTTCAAGATCTACACTGAAGTACAAGCCTGTGTATTTTTGTCTCATGTTCATGTGAAAATTGGACATTGAATAAGGAACTTTGAAGAGGAATCGAGGAATTGTTGGATGGAGAATTAATTTATGCTGTTGTTATTGTTCTTAGGTGCCATGGGTTGGTTCCGATTCGTAGTGGCTCGATATAATGTACAGAAGAACAAAACACTGTTCATGCACCATCCGCACAATTAGTGTTTTCTTTAAACCCACTGTTGTAGCAACCGAGTCATTTCAGTTCATCGAGGGTCTGCCTCTCTTTCAGTGACTCACTGATTTATCAAATATGGCAGTTAGGTTTTATGTCAACTTACACCTGTGTGAAAGTGTCAGCGTGGAGTCCAACCTGTCAATCAGGTCACAGCCTAAGGATGTCTCCTGGGAGGTATGGCCTTTTTATAACAGAGCCAATAAGACCTAAGGATGTCTCCTGGGAGGTGTGGCCTTTTTATAACCGAGCCAATAGGAACAACTACTCCTTCCCTCACCTTCCTCTCTGGTTCTCATTCATAGACACCTTATCCTGGACATTGTATTTGAAATTTTATGTGTAAAAATAATTTTAGGGCAAGGCTGAAAATACCTCCCTCCGGAGAGGATTTTCATTTGCTTTTTACCCTCTGGGACCACCTGAATAATAAATTGAGCTTGAGATTCCACGAATCACCCATGTTGGGCCAGTTTTACTTTTAATCCACTCTTAACAGAAGTAGCCCCTTGCTTATCTGCCCGTTGGAACCACTTGAGCAATTTCAAAATATTCTAATTCTCATGTCACACCCGCAGAGATTATGATTCAATTGGCTTGTGGTGTGCCTAGGTTTTGCAATTGTTAAAAGATCTCTAGTGAGTCAAACATTCTGCTTTAAAAGTAAAGTCCGTCAGGAGTCCAACTTAATGTGTGGTATTTATTAGAATCTCCATTTGGCAGGCCCCTTGGTGTGTTTTGTCTAATGAGGCTGACGAATACCACAATTTCGTATTGCAGCTGTTTTTCTTGATTTGGGCAAAAGCATCTTTGAATGCTTGATTTTAATAGTCTCCCAAAATTTGGCTTGGTAATTCTTCACAATTTATTAGCTCCTTAATGTTTTAAGAAGACATGTTGGAGTTGTTGTCAGCCACTGTGGATCACAATTGACATTGGTTTCATAGTAATTACTCCGTAGGCTGCTAACCACAAGGTCAGCAGTTAGAAACCACCAGCCTCTCTGAGGGAGAAGAATGGGAACTTGCTGCTCCCGTGAAGAGTTACAATCTCAAAAACTCAGGGGGGCAGTTCTTCCCTGTCCTATGGGGTGGCATTGAGACAGCATCCGCTCAATGGCAGTGAGTTTTGGGTTTAGGAGCACAGAGCCTATCTTTCTTCAAGGCAGTTTTGATGCCTCCAGACTGCCCAGACCTGTAGCCAATTCACTTCATTTGGAGCAACATCATCTCTCACCAACCTTCTACCAGCTGAGAACCACTTCCACCCCACAACAGAAAACTTGGGAATGGAAGTGGGGTTTAGATGATGGAGGATGACCATCCTTTACCCAAAGAGAAAACCAAAAGAAGACCCTGAGGCTGGGACTCTTAAGTCCCGGGCTCACATTTGCCCACTTTTTTGGGTGAAAGGTCCAAGAACAAAATGTTTTCAGTGCAAGATCCTCTTGAGATTTTGAAGTTCAGAACTGTCCTTATTAGGATGTGGTCAATCAACTAGTGTATATACTAGGAAAATCTTTTTTTTTTTTTTTAGGAAAATCTTATATACGTATACCTAAATTTACATACATACATGCCTTTGCTTAGTGGGGGATACCTAAAAACTATCTAAGAGGACAAGGTTTATTCTTCTTTTATAGAGGAGTAAGTGGGCTGTAAATGGTAGCCTGGAGAGTGGGCTTGGTGGGCAGTGCCTGCTATCAATAATGATGACAGGGGAAAAGGTGTTTTCATGCTGATTATGAGACAATTAATCTGTTCTAGAACAATCTGCTAAGACCCTTCCCATTACCTCCTTTGGGTGCTTTTGAATTAGAGTCCACCAACCACAGATTGAGAACTCTACAAAGCATGGACGCAGACTTCCGGTGAGGCATCGTGATTGCAGCTCATTTGCTCATTCCATTACTGGGGTGCTGAGGACGTGGGGGTAAAAAACAGGGCCACATTTAAACAGATTAAAATTACATTCATTTCAAAGTGAAATGTGAGTCAAAAGAAGAAAATAATATGACCGCTGGCTAATAGATATGATTCAATTGACAGCTAAAGTCAGCTGCGGAAAACTGAATCAGAGCCGCTGAATTTTATATTCCATATTGTCACAGCCTTCAGAGTTGACAAACATGTGGGTGTATTATCTGGAAATTTAAAGAGAATTGGGAGTCGAAGGGTGTTCCTCCTAATTGGAGAACTATTGTGGGGAGCCAAGCAAGGTAGGCACCTGGGGTACAAGAGGACTATTGGGGTTCAGGTTGAGGCAAATGCAGCTAGCCTACTCAAAGGCAGTTGGGGGAAAAGGCTGACTGGAGAGTGGTCTGTGGTGGTACAATCAGAAAAAAGTGATAATGTGGGCTCTACAGAATCCCCTGTATTGATTGAGCTGTCTATGGCTTGGGAATCCAGGTTAAGTGTATAGAAACATCTTTCAATGTCTATAAACTATTAGAAGTTGTGAAATGTGGGCTGGGAAGGAAAGAGGAAGTATTAAATGGGCATGAACACACTGAGATGTGTTCCCATTAAGTGAGATATTATTCCTAGATGGATGTAGAAATAGCTTAAGTAGTCCTAGTTATTCATTTTAATTCTGTGATTTCTCTCTGTGGGAGACTACTTTCATCTGGTTCTTTTCAACATGGATTGAGTCAGACTCATTTTACTTGCCAAAAGCTTTTTGAAGCATTGAACAATTGCTGCCTCGTTCCCTAAGGGCTGCCCTCTTCTCCTCCCTAGCTCTGTGCTGCCCCTCAGTCAGGCTGCCACATTTAAACAATGTCGCTGTATTGACGATTCTTGGCTTGATAACTTCAGGACGGAAATGTCTCTGTCTTCCATGCTAGTTCAGCAACCGCATGTTCACATCTCCACTTTGTAAGCACACAGGTATCCGAAACTGAACACATCTGCAAGGAAGTTCTTGGTTGTTAACCTTCTGACTTGTCCCTGCCCTCCCACCTGCCATTTCTTTCCCCTTTCGCTAAATGGCATCATGACTCACCCAGATGTTCAAATGAAACCCTAGAAATTATGCTCCTTGACTTTTTTCACTTACTCCCCCACCTCTAGTTCATCAACAAGTTATGTCAAATCTACCATGAGAGTATCTTGAATCTGTTCATAGTCCTCTGACTCCTATTATTTCTGAAGCTCACGCCATTGCCCACTACAGGCCTGTCGTTCTGTAATAGGTGCCTGATTTCAATACTCCCAAGATGACCTCTCTGTAGTGGGTTCTCTGACTAAAACCAAACCAAACTCACTTACCATCAAGTTGATTCTGGCTCACAGGGACCCTTTAGGACAAGGGTAGAACTTCCCCTGTGGGTTTCCGAGACTAGCTCTACGGGAGTCAACAACGCTGTCTTCCTCCTGAGGAGCAGGGGGTTTCTAACTGCTGACTTTGTGGTTAGCAGCCCAACTCACAAACACTATCCCACCAACTCTTGTTGAAATATCACCAGCTCAAATGTTGGCAGATCATCCCTTTGCTTAAAAGCTTTTGTTGACTTCATAGTGCTCTTAGAATAAAATCCTAACTTCTTACCATCCCTCCATCTAT